CATTATATGGTCTGTTTGGTGACAATGTTTGCAGTGAGGGATGTCGTATATCGCCATGGCAACATTCTTCACATATGTTCCAGCTGATTCACTTAGCTAATGCTATACTGAGGTGTCACTAATTCTCTTAAACCCACACAGACGCACACATTGAATGATTTACATTGAACATTAAAGTACAAAAGCAAAGCACACGTTTATCTGTACTGTAATCAAACCTACTGTGTGCTACAAATTATACCTACCACGTATCCCTCTTTAGTAGGGACAGTCCCTATTTTGGGCTTAACTCCCCACTGCCTCTCTATCTATTTAAAGGTCTATGAGTTCCAAAGTTTTGGCATGTGGCAGTATACTGCAGAACTTTGCAGAAATAAACTCACACCAATGTGTCTTTAAAATACAATAACATTTGTTTGTGAATAAAATTATTTGGGCTTCGAAGTACATTGTCAGAGCTGTTCAGTCAGTCATTAGATCACCCAAAAGGTAGATCCCCAGACGTTTTAGAACTACAGCTTTAATGATGCGTTGCCATTCTAAAGGCATTCCAGAGGCATGCAAAGCATCATGGGAGTTGTAGTTTTACAACATCTGGGGATTTATTTTTTGGACACCCCTGACCTAAAATGTCTAAGAAGAGCCCCATCCCCATAACCAGTAACACCCCCTAAAAAATAAAAGTGTCTGTCTTTGGTCATTTGACATGGTGAGTATGTGAATGATACACTTCCCGAAATGGGACATGAAAATAGATTGACAAAAAAAAAGAAAAAAGTTAAGTTTGACAAACCCAGCCTTTGAGAGTGTGATCTGCATATTTCTCTAGTCCATATAGGGTTAAAAAGAACCTTCTAACCACAAGCAGATGACAAATGTATCTTATCGCCACTTTGCAATAAACCAAACTGCATTTTAATTTATGCTTTAACCCATTCTGTTGTTTAACCCATTCTGTTGTTCACAAAAGACAGATTCTTTTACTTCAGCCATGTACGTACTTGCTTTTAGATGAGTTTCAGTTTGTTGTAGAAATCAGCGGCGTTCTATGATTTTGCTAATTAGGCTTTTTTACAAACCGCAAAATCACAACAAAATCCCTTCATTTGTGAAACCCAGGTCCCCTGATACACACAAGGGAAATTGTACCCCTAACTCTAAGTCACCCAAACGCTCCCCCAAAACCCATTGACCCTATAATGATACCCTTAGCCTTAACACCCCAAACATTACTCTTACATTGGCCGTATTATTTATGCTGTTTGTTGTAATTATGTTACAACGAGATTCCAGTGAAAACCACAGTGATGCATTCGGCTTAATTTGATGGACAGTGAATGTAACGAACACTGAGCCGAAATAAAGAGGCGACAGGTTAGTTACTAAATTAAGAATTCAAAATGAATTTTAAATTTAAGGTTAAAACAGCTGAAATGGAAAATTTCTCTGTCTGTTCAGAGTTCAGCTACTCTGGCCTGAAATTTACTATGAATTGTCATTTTAGTAAACATTCCCGTCAGTTAATTAACCAGGATATTTACGAAAGTTTAAATTGCCAGGAATTAAAAGTGAATTTAAAATTTGAGACCAAAATGGCAAACTGGAAGCATAGCTGATGGATTTTGGGTTTGTTTTTTTTACTTTTAAATTCAGCTATTTTGGCCTTGAATTTGAAATTTTCTTTAAATTCACTTCACAATTATCATAAACTCTCTCTTTAGTAAATAACTCGACCGGCGTTTCGTGAATAAACCAGTTTGTTTACCTCTGACACAGTAAAGAGAGGATAGTGTTAACAAACTGCATACGTTACTGGAGCCATGTTCCACCCACAAGCTTTAGATGTCCTTCCCTCTATCCGGCTCAGTTACACAGAGCTGTGTGAGCCACACTTATAAAACCCTTCGCTCTTTCGTAATTCCTCTCGTAAGGGACAAAGAAGTTAAAAGAAATGGCCGAGAAATTCGTCCAAAGTAAACTTAAAGCTTCTAAAGTAACAATGTTTGAGAAGCCTTCCTGCCCCTTCTGTGTGAGGGCAAAGGCGATTCTGAAAGGATACAAGTTTAAGGAGGGACATTTAGAGATTGTCGATATAAGTAGCCTAGACATTATGTCTAGCGTTCAAGATTATTTTCTGAAGAAAACCGGCGAGCGAACGGTGAGTTGGCATTTCGTTACTCTGCTTAGAATGACATTTAAGGTTAACTCTGGGTGGGTTCTGTGAGTGCTATCGATACTGATCGTTAAATATTTAATATCATTAAAAATAATCTGTAAAATTGCATATTTTATTCCACTTTTAAAATAATACAGACATATGACAAATCAGATCATATAGAAGTGGATTTAACCTTTTTTGTTTAAGATAAGATGCTAAGATACATCGATATGTGGATAACTCATCAGACCTTTGTATGTAGTAAGGTACTCAAAGGGTTAACATCACATGTTTAAAGAAACCACTTTTTTTTTTAAAGCATGTTTTTGCTGCAGCTATCAATCCCCCAATGGCAAAATAAACTTGAATTTCCACCTGTGTCCAAAGGAGAAAACTCTTAGTGGTTTAGTTACTAATCATGGAATTGTTGCTATTTTAGTTTTCAGTTCCCCACAATTCAGTGTTTAGTGAATAAATCCCTTTGTTTACGTAGCGATCTCTGTGATTATTGTGCTTTGATGGCCCCTGTGATGCATCTAGTAGTCGTCTTAAATCTTCAGATTTTAGAGACAATAGGATGCAAAGCCATCATGTTTTCCTCGACACATAACTTGCAGATGGGTTGTGTATGAAGGGTGCTGCCCTGTATGTTGCAGGCAGTCCTTTAATGATATTTGCTTGATTGCTAAATGAATTTCGGTATGTGTGCATACTACGCTACAAACTTCATGGCAGATTCCTAGTGACAGTCTTGTAAACTTTGGGGCGAATTGGTAAAACGGTATATTGATGGATCCCAAAGCTAATGAAATGGGCCATGGACAACCAGTTTTGTTTGTTGTA